CACAACTAACAATAGCAAACGCAACAGGCAGGACATAATTGTTACCGTCAACAGCTGTAGCAATCATTAGCGTTCCGCGGTATTTTCCATACAAATGTGTCCCATCGATTTGGAGTATAGGCTTGCAATAATTAAAGGCATCATAACACTGTTTGAATGTCCAAAAAACCCTTCTGAACACCTTGTGCGATCCATCGAGCCGACCATCAATCCTATGTTCATTCACATCCAGTTTATAAGCAGACCCTGGAGAAAACAATAACATATAATCCAATCATCTCGACAGAAACACGTACGACTCATCTCAATCCCCAAAGACCTTCACAATTGCCTTCTGCTTTGCTTTCCAGGCCTTTCTGTATGATATATGAAATCCTAGATTTGATGCAATCCTCTCCTGAATTAAGCCAATTTTAACGCTAGACTCTTCACGTATCATTTCTGCGGTTTGACAAACAATAACGTATTAGCATTACAAATACGATATTTATTTAAACATACAGCAGATGGTTGACTTACCGATGATCAATGAACAAATGAAACTAGAGTTAAGTTGTTTGTGATCTTGTGAAAGTGTTTGACTAACACATGTATGGATGTTGTTCCATACGCCTATTATCCATTCATGACCGCCTTTTTTCATATATGCCTGCATCCTCCACGGACAACCATCATTGTGATTTTGACAAATCATGATCAGCCTTTTCGTATCACTTTTTAGCACGACAGTTGTACGATTATTTGCCATACAATATTGTTTGATGGCCATTTGTACATCCTGCTTGCTTTCAAATTGTTGGTCCTTATAAAGCTCTTGACCCATTTGCCAATTTGGTACTTGTGCCCTTTGCATGTCATCACACTCTTGATCGGGGTGTGCCCAGTTAATGTTCGTGTAATGTGGTATTTGCGACCAAAATGGAACATTATCCTCTCCTGTTTAACACACGTTTCAAATGTCGTTAAGCACATAAATATAATAAAACTCAAACAGTAAACTACCTAAAAACTCAAACGGTAAACTACCTAACATGCAGCAGGTGGTGGGTCATGCGCACCAACAATACCCGGTGATGGAATCGGTTCAACCAAAGCAGTGGACGTTTCCAACTCGAAATCACCATCAACGTCTGTATCCGACGAGTCACTGTCAGGGACTAGACCTTCATCAACCTCCTCCTCGGAACTATCAGTACGCCACGACGGATCATACATGTCATTGGCAGGAATCACATCTAAAGGTTGTGTTATTAGGGGTGATGGTGGTGGGGGTGACACATTCATATCTTCGGGATTTACTTCCGGCTCCCTAATAATGTCTATGGAGTCACTGGTGGGCATGAAACTTTGAGTGCTTGCCTCTCCACCGGTGTTTAGTTCCGCATATAACTCGATGTATGAGGACTCTCCATGCTGTCGAAATGCATCAACTACTAGTGACACATCTTCATCCTCAACCACCTCCACAGCAACCCATTGCACGGGGTTACCAGAAGCACATCTAGCAATCAGTCGAGACAGGGATTGACCTCGTTGTAATCTCAACTTCTTGTATATTATTTTCTTGAGCTCAGTATATTTGCAACGCGGACTCATGCGGAATATCTTCGTATCTCCTTCAAACACTTGACCGTTCGGTCCAAAATATCTTCTCCCATTGTAATATAGAAGGCATATTATATCGTTGTTATTCTCACTCATTATGTACTGAAATAGAAAAACATTCACAAACAGAAATGGAAACTTTTAAGAAAATGGACGAGAATGACTTTGGGAAAGGAAGAGGGGCGTTTAAATAGAACTAAGTTCACTGCCTGGGACAGCGACCTGTAACTGTCAGCAGGTAGTTCGCTTACCAAGGCAGCGAACTACTAAGGAACTGCCACGTGGCGTTAAGTTCGCTACAGCGTCCAGTGAACTACTGCAGTGGCGGCCACTTGTCACCTAGTTCGCCTGGGCCCCAACGGACTATGTAGGGGTCAGACACGTGGCAAATCAAGTTCGCCTGGCATATCAGCGAACTCACCATACGTGTCAGCATTTATTGCACCCAAGTTCGCCTGTGTCAGAAGCGAACTTGGGCACCAGCAGCTTGTTGACACATCATCATGCCTAGTTCGCTACTACTCCCAGCGAACTTACTTGCATGGCAGTTTGGGAAATAAGTTCAGAAGCGTGGCATTTAGGTAAATAAGAGTTGGAACAGTGGCACAATGGTCACTGTTCCATTAAGAAGCACTTGTTAAGAATTTAAAAAAAAAAATATTAAATATTTATTACTTTTTGTCTTAAATAAAATATTAAATAAATATTTTATTTATTACTTTTTGTCTTACTTTTTAGTTAATACTTTTTACTTAATATTATTTTTGTTATTCTTTAACAACACTTGATAAAAAAAGAGAAATATTTTTCTTATGTTGTAGAAAAGTAGTCACCTCATGTTGTAGAAACAAAATTACAAGTAGGACTCACGGGTAAGAGAAGAGAGAGAAAAAGAGTGGTGGGACCCACCCCTCTTTTGTGTGTGTAAAAAAATTATTTATCTCATATAAAATGAGATAAATATAATCCTAAAAAAAAATCCTAATAGATTGTACCACCAAGGCCTAAAAGAACAACTTCCTTTAAATTATAATTTGCTTTAAGTAAATAGGTTGCTGTTAGATTCACCTACCAACCTTGAATATTCATCTTTTCCTCTTCTTCTCAGCAACCAAAAAGTGAAACGTGGATCACAAATGCTCACTATTTCCTATCAACCCACTGTAATTTGTGATTATCAAACACAACCATAACAAAACTATGGGCAAGCACAATGTTTAATTATGAACTTTGGGCAATCAGAATGTTTGAGTTGACCCACCACCAGCTTAAAGGCTGTGATCGAAATGCAACTCACACCATATAGCTTGTTGATATAGATGGCTTTTAAATCAATATTATATAAGGTTAAGTATTTTTTTTCTCTGGTAGGAAATAAAATTATTTTTTATAATTTTTAAAATGACATTATTTTGAGTTAAAGCGATAAATTATTTTATAATTTTAGTTTATGATTTAGTTTAATAAATTTTTTCTCTAACTTCAAAATAACATCGTTTCAATTCATTTCATAAATGTTATTGAATTTTATTTCATGTGACACGGGACTACTATGGTTTTTAGTATACCTTAATTATTTTTTCGAGTCAAATCATTTTGGTATCTCACAAACTTCAATTATTTGAATTGATTATGGATTAATCTCAAGTTAGGACTTAAAAAATAGTTAAAACTCTGGTATAATTCTATGTATTAATGTGGATATGAATCTTCTCATGTTAAAATAAATTAACACGGTGGAGATTTAAAATCATATAAAGATGAATTAATAGTAATAAAAAAATAGAAAAAAATATATTAAAATAAATAGTTATAAAATTATAACCGTTAATTTAAATTTATATGATTATGATATTTGCATATGACCGTATCATATTTTTTTTAATATTAACCTAGTGTAAGGAAAATACTAAATAGTGTTCTTATCTTTTAATCAAGCCGTCCAAATCTGGGACACGTACCACGTGTCATGACTGAGATTTTTGTTTTTCGATAACACAGTATGTTATGATATGATGATCTCTCCCAGATTTCACTTCAGTTGTCCCTTTAACCGTCTTGTTTGTGGAAACCGTTTGCGGTCTCTCTTATTCTTTTCTTTTTTCTATCTATAACCGTTTGGCTCCTTCTACCTATTCTTCTCTTAATAACCTCTATTTTGGACTTAAACTTTTTTTGTATGCAAAGGTTTCTTCTTTTGCATTTTTCACTTGAATGCTTGAGTTTTTATGGTGGGTGTTTAATTTACAGCTTACATGTATGTTAATGTTATGAGTGCACCTTCTTTGAGTAATTGTGATGTTCTGGGTGGTCAAAATTTTGATGCCTTCTTGTGTTCTCTTCTCTATGTTTTCATCTGGGTGCTGATATATTGTGTTTTTTTTTGCTTGTAATGAACATGGGTGGTTGTGGTTGTGGTTGTGGTTTTGAACATTCTCATCTGTTTTAGTAAATCTCCGACTCCATGTCTCAAGATAGTACAATACATTATTACCCTTCAAGAGATTTTGCAATTTCTTGTTATGTGCTCCCTGCCACCTTTGAACTTTCTTGTATGATCTGGTGAATGTGTGAAGAAAATCCAAAACTGTTCCCGATTTTTGTGAAAATTGAGAACCTTTTTTATTTTTATTTTTCTTTGTAGTTGATGTTTACATTGTCTTTTGAAATGGTCCTATACATACATTTTGTGTGTTTTGTAGTCTTGTGGATCATTTGCTTGATGATTAACAATTGAAGCAGGTCTTGAGGATAGCTTCTGGTAACTCTGCATAAGCATTTAGCTGAAACATTTATTTGTTCTTGCTGACACTTTATCATGTTCAATTACATTTCCATTTTCGTTCAACTGAGCCTAGCGTGGCCGAAGTTAAAATCATCACTCATAATCTATAAGCATGTTCATTTGCTAAAATGCCTGTGTTAGTTTGGACTTACATTTTCTTTCTTGCTTCCTTGCTTTCTTCTTTCCTTCTTTCTTTCTTTATAGTCTGCATTGTAGTAGAACTATTATCTGTTTCTATTTCTTTTCATACTGGATTTTTCTTCTTTCTTTTTTTCTTTCCTCCCTTCTTCCCTTCTTTCTTTCTTTCTTTATAGTCTGCATTGTAGTAGAACTCTTAACTGTTTCTATTTTCTTCTCATACTGGATCTTCTTCCTTCTTTCTTTCTTTCCTTCTAGTCTGCAATATTGTAGTAGAACTATTATATGTTTCTATTTCTTTTCATAATGGATTTTCTTTCTTTCCTTCTTTCCTTCTTTCCTTCTTTCTTTCTTTATAGTCTGCATTGTAGTAGAACTATTATCTGTTTCTATTTCTTTTTATACTAGACTTTCTCGTCTGCATTTTAGTAGAAATATTATCTATTTCTATTTCTTTTCATACTGGATTAATGTCAACCATTTTAGCCAGAAATCTTCATTTTCTAATCTAACTCCTGACTCAAGATGGTGGTTGCATTTGCAACCAAACTATGGATTTCAAAAAGGTTTAACAGATGAGCATGTAAATGCATTAAAGGATGAGGTTGAAATTTTGAAAGTTAGTGATGAAAATAAAACATGTAAAGGAAATGCTACCCACTTTGGTGATGAGAACCATGCTTCATCTGATGATGTACATTATGACTTCCAGGATGGTATTGTAAAGAAATTTTCCATGGAAGGAATGCAAGAGGCATATAGTAAAAAATCTCAAGCATATCCTGAACTAATGGATATGGATATGATGACCAAACATGAGACAATGGAGATTAATTCTGTTGGCTGCTCAGTGTACAAGCAAACAAATGATTTCTCCTTTGATTCAGATTATTCTTGGATTGAAGGTGAGAATGCCCAGCCATGGTGGAGAACAACAGATAGAGATGAGTTAGCTTGTTTTGTTTCACAGAAATCTCTCAACCATATTGAGAATTGTGACCTTCCTCCTCCTAAGAAGAAGTATCTTGGAGGACAATCATGTGCTAATATTAGTGATGACAAAAAAAAAGCATCATTTTTGAACTGGGAAGCCAAATCTAGTGCCTCCAATTTGACTGCTCAGGCAAAGGGAAGTTTAGATTCAGGATTGATGCATAGAAATCTGGGGCCTTCAGCCAATGGAGGGCATTTGTATTTTGCTTCTGACAAATCCTCAAGGTATTTTCCTCTTAATATATGTTGGTTCACTAGGTTGCACTATCACCTTAACTGACTATATTTTACTTCCAAAATAGATATAATAAAACAAGTAACAGATTTTCTTGGACTTGCAATTTTTGTTGCAGTTATACCACCATCCATAAGGGTGTCACTGAACAAGTTTTTGAGGGAGACCCCAACAAAACTCAACTTATGGAAGCACTGTGTCATTCTCAAACACGTGCTAGGGAAGCAGAAGAAGTAGCAAAACAGGCTTATGCTGAGAAAGAGTACATAATTGCACTCTTTTTTGAACAAGCATCACAACTTTTTGCCTATAAGCAATGGTTTCGACTATTGCAGCTGGAAACTCTTAACATTCAGGTTAAGAATAAGGATCAGCCAATCTCTACTCCCTTCCCAGGGGCTTTTCCGTGGATGTCATTTGAAGGTAGGAAACCTCAGAAGAGAAAGCAAAAATTTGCTAATACCAAACAAGAAATGCTAGGCATGCCATTTATTGATATTACAACATATGCTGTTGCATTTGCTTTAGGATTGAGTCTTGTTGGGGCTGGCTTACTCTTAGGATGGAATGTTGGTTGGATGTTACCTCGTTTATAGTTTTGTTGGATTTAGAGCTAAGTCCTGCTTTATATGTCGATTAATAAACGAGGGAAATTAGTTAAAATAGAGAAAGAAGGCCAATTTATTTATCAGATGTCTATGCAGTTGTGTAGATTTGTTAGTCACTAATATGCATTCTGCATTGTGCTTCTGTAATGGATGCTAAATTTGTCCATAAACATTTGATAAGATGATGAGGCAGCTAATTCTATTCAAATTGGTGCACTAAACGTAAGGAAGATTAATGGCTAGGTGCTAGGATCCAAGTATGAGTAGTGAAATCTCACGTTGGTTAGAAATATATTTAGTAAGGACTGTATAAGTGGTAGCAACTATGAATTTAATACCTGGACTTTTTTTTTGTTGAAGTTGTGGTGAGCAGCTTATTGTGGTGGACGGCCCTTGATGGTTACTTGGTGAGAAAATTTCTTCGTTCATAGTTCTTTTGGGTTATTCCTAACCCTAGTGAGTAGGGGTGTTCATCAACCGATACAAACTGATTCAAACTGCGGTAAACCGAACTGAAAAACTGATAACCGAATAAATCGAAAACCAAAAAAAATCACAAATTTTAATTGGATTAGATCAGTTTTAGGATTGATTGATTAAAATCAATCCAATCCAATCCAATATATTAATTCCCCTCTACCTACTTGGATCTTTTTCCAATCATAACTCAAAAATTTCTAAACCCAAAACTCATTAATCCATCAACTAAACCAAAGGAAAAGTCTAGTCACGTCTCATCAACAAAATTTTATCTGTGTAGGAGCTTCATATCTTATTTTCCCACAAAAAAACTATATTATCGTTTACTAAAATGCTTTTGTATTTCAAAAAACAAAAAATTACAAAGTCAATATATACAAAGGATGTTATTTGCACAATAATCATGAAACAAATTTTAGGATTTTCATAAAACCAAAAACCAATCCAGATCGCGAACACCCCTTCTAGTGAGATACTAGTATCTAACCTCACTTAAACTTTTTTTCACCAAAAAAAAAATTATTTGATTTGGGTCCTTAATTATTAGTAAAGGAAATAATGAGATAAATGAAGTCAATGAGATCGTCGTTTGTAACTACATGTATTAGCTGTGCTTTTTTTAAAAAAAAAACACGTTTACTTACTTTGAAGGATGATGGAACAGTGAGAGAAACTAAAATGCAAACTTAAGATTTTCATTAAATCATGTACATGTTGATCATATTTTTCCAAATAAATAAGACAATTTAAAAACTATGGAAAAAAAACTGTAATGGAAATAATTATTGATTCATGCATTATCATATTTGTTCCATACCATCAGTCTGTTTTGGATTTTTCCTTTCCTGTTAAGGGTTATGTTACCTTTAATTTTTTAATCTTTTTTTAAAAGGCAATGAAATAAATAGGATTAGCACTGTCCTCAATGGTTATGGGCATCAACTGTGAGAATTGGATAGATAACACAGTTTCACTGCCATAATCCATCAAGACACCATATAATGAAGGCTTGAAAACTTGTACATCTTGTCCCATGATAATAAAACAAAAGTTTCGAGCAATGGACAGTGGTATAGCAACAGAAGAAACAGGTTCAGAATGCCACCTATGTGATAGAAGAAAAAGACAAAAAGGAGGGGGGGAAATAGTACATATGCAGTGGCTGAATTAGCAGATAATTGATTTTGACTTGACCATGGTATCCAAGGAAAAGTCCTAGAGCCAAGGGCCCCCACACCCATGTTTCTTCAGTTTTTTAGTCCTCCATGGAACAACCTGCTTCAAGCCCTCCCAGATTGTTGTCTGCAAAATCAAAAGTAGTGCAAGATTAGGGGATCATTTTCACTTAAATAACAGATCTTACACACACCAAAAAAATAAATAAAAGAAAAATCCAGTTTTATGAGACAAAAATCAACTACTTTATATTTGTCCCTATTGAGAAAAATCACTAGCGCTAGAATTGAGAAAAATTTGCAGCATTATTATTCCAAATGCATATTGCTGATAGCACAAATATCTTGGATATACTAAACTAGATCCAACAATATGAGCCAAAAAAGAAAAAGTTCTATTTATGGCTTCCTGCACTAAACAACAATAATCCTAGTTAAGTAAAATCCCTTATTCTTAGAATCCTATTCTCCTCCCCAACCAGTGAAGCTTGGCCTTCAAAACCACATGAGCCCAGATATAAATTGCTACAACAAAGCTACACAATCTATACATTGTAACACAAGTTTTAATTAGCCTATAGTGAAGTACAATTTCAAGCACTGAGAAAATCTCTAATCATAACCCCAAGAAAACACAACAATGACATTGTGTGAAAAGTTAAAACTTACCCACACACGAGACTTGACATAAAATAGGTTGGAAAAGCTCCCAGAAGGTTTCATCTTTCTTACCCTCACCTTCTTGTGACTACCTCCAATTGTACCAACATGATCAATATCCTTATCAGCAGAAGATGGAAAAACATGACTACCCCCACTTACTTCTCTTTTAACCTTGAAGGCCTTTTCTCTCCAAGAACCAAACCACCCATTATCCTTGATCCCCACACCTTTGCTGAGAATCGTAGTCCCAAGTTGTCCTCTCTTGGCACTAAAATAACCATGACAATCCTCACTCATTCTGAAAGATAGAGACTGGTAACTGTTACAGGGTCCTTCCAACAGGAATGTGGTGGGTGAGGGTAGTTTGTTGAGCTTGGCATCAACTAGAAACCTTGGAGGAAGTTCCAAGCACTTTGGAGTGGACTTGGAGAAGCTCACAAGAGCAGTACAAGGCCTTGGCTTTCCAGGTTCTTCTTCCCATCCAAATGGGACTGAAGCAGAAGTGTGAAGTGGAGGAGTTACCATTCCTGATCTCTCTGGTGAATGCATTTGTGGAGGGCTGAACAAGGGTAGCTTTGGTATGTTTGTCTTCCCTTGCTCTACCTCTGCTTCAGAACCACCCATCACCACACACACAAACACACTGTCTTTCTCTCTCTCTCTCTCTCTGTGCTAGAAGTCTTGAGCTTTTGGCTATGCTTTTGATTTTGATGACATTAACATACAAAAGGAAAGACAATGTCACAATGGAAAAGAGATAAAGGGAAGCTCCTCAGCAGAAAAATGTTAGTCTTTTTGGTCGTATTTGCCTTTCTCTGGAGCAAGATCCAAAAAGGACCATCCTCTAGTGTGCTTTGTTGAAAATATGTGTATAGAATCGTAATTAAAACATGTGTTTTTACGATTTTATGATTTTTTTAATTAAATTATTTTTATTAAAATTTTAAATATTTTTACGATTTTATAAATTTTTTTACGTTAAAATTTTATATTTTACAAATTTTTAATCTCATTTCGATTTTAGATAAAATTTTAATTTTAGATAAAATTCTGATTTTAGCTATCATGATTGTAACTTGAATTGCTTCATATATTACCATTTATCGGCCCTAAAAAAAATGAAAGAAAATAGTGAAAATCAATCCTCCAAAAATGTCATATTTTTTGACTTCATAATTCTGTCATCATTGTAGCTGCTTACTTTTCCAAAGTGGCCAAATAGTATGAAAATGCCTTTTTTTAGATCTCTTTTAAAAAATTGTGAGAAATTACATATTATTCATCAATAAAATTATCATATTGATCGGTAGGATTTGAACTCACGTCCTTACAAGATATAGATCAAACTCTTAGCTAGTTGTACCCACCTTTGTTGGCACGTGAAAATGCATTTAAGTATTATTTTTGTTTAGTGTCAAAGACTCAAAATATACATCATCTTTCTTGGTCATGACTCGCTAACAAGCATTTCTATCATGAAAGTTTTAAGATTCAAAGCTTATTGTGATTGTTAACGAGGGCTACTGGTAGAATCCAACAAAATCGACAAAAAGTTTGATGAACACTCATCGTTAAGTTAATTTTAAATATTATCTTAAGTCCTTACTTAAACTTGTGTCATGCATCTTCTTGAAATGTAGTGGCGGAACCACTCAGTACAAGCTGATTTTCAAATATAATATAGATTTTCTTTAAAATTTATGGTACATACTTGGCACTAGTTGGATTTTTTAAAATAATATAACTTTGACATTGACTGGGTTTTTTCTAGCTCCGCCACTATTGAAATGGATCAACTTCTACTCTTATAAATATTTTGTACATTAAAAAAAATTCTTCGTGATGAAATTTATATTATAAAAAAGATAAATTATTTTAAATCATGTAAATATATTGACCTTAGTTCTAACATAAAGAATAATAGAAAAATATTTATGCAGTTACTGCAGATAAGTTATCTGTATTTACTCTCAAAACGACGTCGTTTTGGGATTGAAACATTAAAAATTATAATTATAAAGACTATAATAATCCTAAAATAAATTAAAATTATAAAAATACCATAATTTCTGTTCAAAATGACGTCATATTAAGCTTACTGCAGATAACTTAGAAAAAACGAACCCAAAAAATAATGCTTAATACAACCGATACTAAGCATATCATCTCACATTTATACGAGGTAACAAAATTAAAATGAGACTAACTATAATTAAGTAATGAAAAAAATATAAAACTATAAAATAATATGTGAGTGTAAATTTGTTAAAGATAGTTAATGAAATTATCTTCTACAACCTTAAGATGATCTAGTTTTAAGTTTTCGAGAAAAAAAGACATTATATTGTGATAATTTTATTTCTTTTTGTAATTTTTAAAAATGCGCTTTATTTTTATTTTTTTTACAAACCTAAAAACATGTCGTTTTAAATTTCATTTATTTTCAACACTTTTACCTTGTAAGCATCCCTTGGCCCTATTAAACGATTCTTAGTTGCATCTAGGGGTGGCAATTTGGGTTGACCCGCCCCGCCCCGCCACCAACCCACCAAAAACGGGGCAGGGCGGGTTGACCCGCCAAAAAATATGGGTTAGAAAAATGAACCCACCCCGTTTTATGGTGGGTTGACAGGTTGGCGGGTCAACCCACCAACCCGCCAATTAAAAAAATAATAATTAAAATTCAAAAATAAATTGTATTTTATGAATTTTTCTAATATTATTTTATTTTATTTCACACTTCTTTATATTTTTTTAGTCTCAATCTTAAATGTATACTAATATTTGTCAAACATTCTTTAAGAATTTATATATAGATAACATTTGTCATAAATAAAATTGTTATTCTTTATTTTTTCTAGGAAGTACTAAGATAAAAAAAAAATTAGATATCACAAAATTTTAAGGATTGATGAAATACTATCAAATTATAAAAAATATATATATATATCATAACCCGGCGGGTCAACCCACCCCGCGGTGGGTTGAACCCGTTTTGACCCACTTCCAGGCGGGACGGGTTGGTGGGTTGAAAATCTCAACCCAACTCGCCCCGTTTTGGCGGGTTGATCCGTCGGGCTCAACCCATATTGCCACCCCTAGTTGCATCACGTTACACATCGAATGAACCAGAATTATTTTATATTATAAACCCCACACGAGTTTCACGTATTAAATGGATTTGGACCCTAAACCTTTAGCCTACACAAACGTAAAACAGTTTATTTGTCTTGTTGGACCATGCCATATGATTTGGACGCCAAATTGTGATGGAAAATTGAGTGGTGTGAACAAGGCATGGACTATAATGGACTTTGATTGGTACCAACTCACAACATTTATATGCCCTTCAAAACAAGTCATTCCTATTTGCCACCAAATCCCATACGCTTTTCTTCGCAACACACATATTTGAAATTCACATACTGAGAATTGAGGTTCATATATGCCTTAATATCTTAATCTTCTACTCAAAGTATCTTTGTAGGAAAGGCTAAATTTCTAACCTACTTTTTTACCTTTTTTTTTCTTTGTTGTATAAAAGTTTAAAATAACATAATATATCAAACTCTATACCACTTGAGTAATTCTTAAATTTTACTTGAGCTTCATATCGTTGTCAAACTTTCATGGTTGTGTTACGTTGGTTTGAATAATAAGATTTTCATGTATTGATATGTCAAAATCATCCGGGGTACTTTTTTTTTTTTATAATTATCCAGGGTACTATTTTAGCAGCTGGTAAGGAACAGTTTGTTAATAGTCTAATTATGAATCATTGATTCTTTTTATCTAGAGTTTGGTGAAGGTGAAAAGTGAAAACACATATTACAAAAAATGAAATAAAATGAAAAATAATGCCCAATTTCCATACTTTTCTATTGTCTCTCTTGTTACACCATGAAATCTCAACTTAATTCATTTACTTTATATATTCATAAATGAAAATGTGATTTTGTGTTTTTATTCATGTTAAGTATATGTCACCCAGGGTATAGCGATCCCTGGCCATGCTATATGTAGACCAAAAAGATGGTTACATCAATCATTTTGTTCAAATAACTCGTTGTAATCCAAAAATAAACACTACTAGAAAAGTCTTTATTATCGACGGAATTTTTCGACAGAAAATATTTCCGCTGAAATTATTGACAGAATTTTCCACGGAATCTGTTTTCCGTCGAAAATTTCGACGAAAAATAGATTCAGTCGAAAGTTTTCGACGAAAAAAGAAATTCCGTCGAAGATTTTCGACAGAAAAGGAATTCCGTCGAAAACTCTTGAAAAAAATAAAAAAAAAAAGAAATTAAATAGGGTAAACTTTTCGACGGAATTTCGATTCCGTCGAAAATCTTTAAAAAAATAATTGAAAAAGAAAATAAATATTGTGAATTTTTCGACGGAATTTCGATTCCGTCGAAGATTTTCGACGGAAAAGCAATTCCGTCGAAAAACTCTTAAAAAAATAATTGAAAAAGAAAATAAATATTGTGAATTTTTCGACGGAAAAGCAATTCCGTCGAAAAACTCTTGAAAAAAATAATAAAAGAAAGAAATTAAATATGGTTAACTTTTCGACGGAATTTCGATTCCGTCGAAAATCTTTAAAAAAATAATTGAAAAAGAAAATAAATATTGTGAATTTTTCGACGGAATTTCGATTCCGTCGAAAATCTTTAAAAAATAATTGAAAAAGAAAATAAATATTGTGAATTTTTCGACGGAATTTAGATTCCGTCGAAAATCTTTAAAAAAATAATTGAAAAAGAAAATAAATATTGTGAATTTTTCGACGGAATTTCGATTCCGTCGAAAATCTTTAAAAAAATAATTGAAAAAGAAAATAAATATTGTGAATTTTTCGACGGAATTTCGATTCCGTCGAAAATCTTTAAAAAATAATTGAAAAAGAAAATAAATATTGTGAATTTTTCGACGGAATTTAGATTCCGTCGAAAATCTTTAAAAAAATAATTGAAAAAGAAAATAAATATTGTGAATTTTTCGACGGAATTTCGATTTCGTCGAAATTTTTCGACGGAAAAATAATTCCGTCGAAAAACTCTTGAAAAAAATAATTGAAAAAGAAAATAATTGAAATAAATATTGAAAAACAATTCTTATGAACTTCCCAGCAGATGTTCACACTAGCTTATGGAAAAAAGTTTGGTCGTGGAATGGACCAGAACGAGTGAAAGTGTTTATGTGGATGACTTTGCTTGCTAAACTTTCAGTGCGCAGCAGAACCAGTAAGTGGAGCGGAGGTTCAAATGTCTGTCCCAGTTGTCCAAATCATGAGGAAACTATTATTCATGTTCTTCGTGATTGTAGACATGCTAGGAAAATTTGGCAATCTTGGTTTACATGTTCGATACCCAATTCCTTTATGAATTCGAATTTGCAGGATTGGTTGACTTTAAATATCGATAACATGTGGTCATCCAATAAAGTGAAGGACTGGAGGGATATTTTCTTTACTACTTGTTGGTTTTTGTGGAAGTGGAGAAATTTGGAGATCCATGAAGATCATTTCTGTCATGATGAGCAATCACAGGCTTCAATTTGGATGTTTGTCCAACAGATTCTGCAAGCCCGAATTTATCAGCGCCGTGGTGATTCCAACGATAGCGTTTGGACAGCCCCCAAGCAAGGGTGGGTTAAGTTGAATTGTGATGGAGCTTCTTCTAGTGGCATGAAAAAAGCTAGTTGTGGTGGTATATTAAGAGATCACAATGGATCCTTTTTGGGAAGCTTCTATTGTAATTTAGGTTCATGCAATCCTCTTGATGCAGAATTATGGGGATTACTGAAAGGTTTGGAACTGCTTTGGGGAACAGGATTAAAAAGAATAGAGCTAGAATGTGATTCTAGCCAAGCCATCCAGATGTTAAAGGAGCAGCATGAAGATCCTAGGGACTCTCAAGTCATTAGCAGATTGAGATTATGGTTAAAAGCAGATTGGACTATTCATCTTGTTCATACCAAGAGAGAAAACAACAAATGTGCTCATTGGTTAGCTAAAGCTGGGCAAACTAATAATCTCCATTTCAAGATTTTTAAAGATCCTCCTCCTCAGTTGATGGAACTTATAGTTGCTGATGCTAGAAATATGTCTAGCTTGTTAGTTTCTGATTTGTAATTTCTTTCTGTTTCTGGGGCTTAACCCCTCTTTATTTACAAAAAAAAAAAAAAAAAAAAGAGCAATGAAGACGAAAAGTAAAAGTTCCACACTGAAACTGGTGAACATCAATGTCATGGACCTCATGGTGACATATAACCACCATCTTTGCTACAATATCTAATATATTTATTTTTCCTTTTTCGGTTCATACCCCCTATCTCGTGTTTTTTAATGTAAAATCATAGAAGGCCCTACTTAGATTGTATTGTTTTGAATTTTCGCTATCTTCTTCATAATTATATTTTTAACATTTTTCTTTTTTTCTTTTTGTGTGATCACAAGTATATTATTAATATTGCTCTGAAGAATGAAACAACCAACCTCAAAAGATTTTATATTAAAAGCTAATTTCACTTTCTTGCATCTCCTATCGTGTTCTTCCATGTTTCCCTTGTCCATTATTGAGAACACCACTATGAAAAGAAGACAAAGATGGAATTGACCCAGCACACAGGCCTTTGTGCTTATTTGATTACTTAAATAGCAAGCTGATCAACGTAACTACGTAAGGTGTACTTTGATATACAAATTCAATGGAGAAAACATTGCGAGGAACTTCAGTATAAGAAATTATATTTTTTAATTTTATCAAAATTTTAGTTATACAGTTAGCTTAAATCACACCAATTATCGGAGTAATCTCATCAGCTTTTTTTTATTCTTTTTAATTATATGTTTGCCTTATCTCGATATTTGATGTCTATGAACCCTATTCCAAAGGATTTAACCCCGAAAAAGAAAAAGATCAAACGTCTGCAACTACAACATAGTGACAATCATCGATGATAGAAGCATAAAAGAATAAAATATAAATTCCACAACAAAAAGAGAGTGAGAGAGAGAAATCAATGTAAGTTATAACTTACACTAAAATGCAGAATATAATAAATCACAAATGTTGGACTTCCTCCTTCAATGCTAACCTCAAGTCCATTGAGTCCCGTGGGTTTTTACTTCTTCATTGGAGAAGGTTTTCTCACGTTAAAATCTAGTTCACGAACGCGTACGAGTTGTGGACGAAGCTGGAGTCCATGATTCAGAAGAAGACTCCCAAGAACAAAGCACACCTGGTTCGCCGACTTGTGAAGCTGGAATACAAGGACGACAAAAGCATGATTGAACACCTCAACACCTACAAAGGTATTGTTAATCAGTTGTCTAAAGCCGAGATGGAAATTGATGACAAAATGCAGGCTTTGCTGCTGTTGAGCTCGCTGCCAGAAAGCTGGGATACTCTGGTGGTGAGTTTGTAACGCCTGTCGGCTTCAATAATCAATGACTATCCCCACATACTAACACGAGACTTTTCAGTGTACTTTTTCCTCACTCGCACACTTCCCGAAAAAACTTCCCATGAGGTCAACCATCCCATAATTGCCCCAAGTCAAGCACGCTTAACTATGGAGTTCTTTCGTTCCGGGCTACCGAAAAATATATGCATCTTGTTCGTATAGGTAGTACCAATTAATTCTTATAAGTTATCCCAAATTGTGCAGTCTCATACCTGCACAGTCTTTGGAATTCCTCTCTTTCGGGTGTCAATTCGATTCATTCTACATGTAACCCCCCGCTGGAAGCCTGTCAGGAGTCTCTCCTTGTCCGTGCCTCTTTGCACCGGCGGTCACTCCCCGCCCTCGTCAGCGCTCGGGATGTTACATGCCCACCAATTTCCGCTTGGTTCGTCCTCGAACCACACCGTACTGAAAGAGAGGCTCTGTTTTGATACCACTTGTAATGTCTGGCTGCTTCAAGAATCAATGACTATCGCTACATACTAACACGAGACTTTTCAGTGTACTTTTTCTTCACTCGCACACTATCCGGAAAAACTTCCCAGCAGGTCACCCATCCCAGAATTGCCCCAAGTCAAGCACGCTTAACTATAGAGTTCTTCTGTTCCAGGCTACCAAAAAATAGATGCATCTTGTTAGTATAGGTAGTACCAATTAATTCTTATAAGCTATCCCAAACTGTGTAGTCTCATACCTGCACAGTCTTTGAAATCCCTCTATTTCGGGTGTCGATTCGATTCATTCATGCATGTAACCCCCCGCTGGAAGCCTGTCAGGAGTCGCTCCTTGTCCGTGCCTCTATGCACCGGCGATCACTTATCGCCCTCGTCAGCGCTCGGGATGTTACAACTTTGAGTAATTCGGCTCCAGAAGGAAAATTGAAGATGAATGTCGTAACAGATAGTCTCCTGAATGAAGAAGCCAGGAGAAGAGAACGAGGTGTTTCCATCACGTCTGAGGCCAATGTTGCTGAGAACAGAGGAAAATCCGACTCTCGGGGTAGAAGCAAGAGCCCGGGTCGAGATCGTGACAGAAGAGAAAAGTACAGAGGTCGGTCAAAGCCGAAATATGAGCTGAAATGCTTCTATTGTGGGAAGACAGGGCATAAGAAGCCAAACTGTTGGACTCTGCAGAATGACGAGAAGAACGGCTTTGTGAAGCCAGATTAGATTATTCCCAAGAAGAAGGAAGACAAGAGCACCACTGCGGTGGCTGCCAACTCGAATATCGAGATATTCCTCCTTGGTGAGGATAATTATTTGAATGTTGCATATGATGACTGTACCTGGATTGTTGACTCTGGTGCCTCCTTCCACGTCACTCCACACAAAGGTTTTTTCTCCTCTTACCCAGGTGGTGATTTTGGAGTGGTGAAGATGGAAAATCAGGTGACCAACAATATTGTTGGTGTCGGTGATGTGACCCTGACCACGGATGTTAGATGTCAACTTATGTTGAAGGATGTGAGGTATGTTCTTGACATGCGTATACATGCATGCATGAAAACTCTAGAGATTATTATGATAACATATCACACAAAAATATGTTTATGAATGTTTATTAGCTTTGATCAAACGAATACGTAGTGGACACGATAAAGAAAAATATAAGAGTGACAAATCCAAAACAAATTGCAAGACGAGTGGTACAGTGGTAGTGGTCTAGTGGACCTTGTAAGTAATGTTTTTTACAAATAAAATTGAATTGCAAGGCAACAAAACTAATTTTTACTTTCTAGTTATTGCACTTAATTAGTTCCCATTTATAACACAATGCTGAGCTTGCTTTCAATGACTGATTTCTTTGCTTGTTTTGAAAATTAAAACAACTTTATAGTTTATAATTCATCGGTAAGAACAAAGAATCTTGTTGAAACCAAACTTTGCCTCCACTTTTTGGGCAACTTGTTACAAGGTAGAGAAGGAACATCAATTCCTCTCATTAGCCCAAACAATTTCTACCACCTCTTTGTCTCTGTGTGCAGCCTCGTTAAAGTAAAAAATGATACTTTCCTCTCATTTTTGTATCTTATATTTCTCACATAAATAAAGTAGAAATTCTAGGGAAACTAGTTAGAATTAAATGGTGAAACATGTGTAAAGGGTATGTATAAAAACATATGTAAGGAACATTCCTCCATTTAAATGACTAAGCGTGCACGAAACACGGTTTATTTAAAATACTAGCAGCCATCCAAGGTGCATTTTTGATACTAAGTCAATCATTGTTCTAAAGTTGCATATTTGAAGGACACTTAAAATTGTCTATTCCTGTCATGTCATGTCATGTCACTGTCTGTTCCCAAAAGGACTGTGTGGCCAAATGTACATGAAAAATGCTTTATTGCATATATTCAAACTTTCCACACCTTCACATTACCTTAAACAACACACTTAAACAATTGTATATGTATATAACATTATTTAATACACACAACACTTATAATTACTAATTAATTAAAATAATTGCCGTTAAAAAAATCATAGTGTTGTATGCTCTATCATCTTCCTATGTTTATTATCAACCACAAGGCCACAACACAAAACATAGAGGGAGATATATACGGACAAACTTCGCAAAACATGATAACTTAGCAGAACATACCGACACATCACAGACAAACAATCCATTAATGGGAAAAAGCATATTTGTTTACATGCTGATGGCACTGTAGGACCCAAAAAAAAAAAGGGTATTCACAAAATAAAAAAAATACCTAAAATCCAACTGAAACTTCTGAGGTTTTTATATTATATATTAGTCCACACTTGTGCAGTTGCTGAGAAAATTCCATAAAATTAAGCAACCCTACCATCAGTTACCCTTCCCCTCCCTAATCCAAAAAAAGGTAAAAAGTTAAGTTGTCTAAGGCATGTGAGATTGTTGAGTCTCATCCATATTAAGTGAATCTGGGCTCATCAAAGTCTCTACAACCTCTGATGAAGAAGCAGGTAACTTGCATTTCATTTTCTTTAAGTCCTCCCTTAAACAAATGAAAATCCTCTTCACAATGGTGCAGAACTCCCTGCAAATAAGGTGGCACAAGTAGGAAAGAAAATTAAAAACAAATGTCATAACGAAACAAGCATTTGAAAAGCACAACTACCAAGGTTCATGTTACTCACGGCCATGGATCATCACCAACCAGCATCATGTCATTTTCATCATCAGTGAAAGTAACTGCCCATTGGCTTTGCGGACGCAGCTGTCCTTTAATATCAAACAATTTTTCAAGCTCATCTATGAGATCATCATAGCCATTCAATGTGGTCAAGTCCAATGCACGACCAACAGCAACACCTTGCATTTGCACCTTCTCAAAAAAAAAAAAATTAAAGTTAGCATCCCTTAACATATATAATAGAAATATTAAAACAATTAAAAAAAATGAAACTGAATTGTGAAGGGAAATTTTAAGAATTTTCAGTCAAAATTCCTACCTACCATTGAACCTTATTTCTTAAAGGATGACCAATTTCCTTCTATTTTACATTATATGACTTTCCACCTAAATATGAAAGGAATCTTACATTATTACGCTCAAGGCTGAAAATGTACCTTAGTCCGAGTCCTCATGGATGGTACACAGGCCTGCATGTTCTGCCAATCCATTGGTGATACATCAGAAATAATTTGCTTCTGCCCCTTGTTGGACAGTGAATGGTTGGGGGTCTGAACCCTCTCAGTTTCACATGCAGCAGCAGGAATAGATTCTTTGGGACCACTAGGAACAATAGTTGCACTCGGACATCCAAGTTCTTTGTCTGAAGGAGTAATAACATTGCTAGAGTTTTGGGACAAATTAACTCCAAATAACCAGCAATTCATGGGATTCTCAGTCTTTTTCCCATCTTCCACTAGATCACATGTCAAGCCATCACTTGCTCTAGATGAAACATTAGGATAACCAGAGATAGATGATTGTGATGTACCTGATTTCTTGTTTTTGGAGGGTTCATGGAAAAGGTTAGAAGTGACATTCAAATGTGGTGAAGAAGGCCATTTTCCTTCCAACCGAACACTAGAACTGATAGAGTTAGTATTAATAGGATTGCTATTAATGTCTCTCTGTCTCATAGAGCATACAACCTGATTTTCATTGCTTTGGACTACTTCAGCAGCAGCGCCTAACTGTGTAAGCTCATGAGCATGGGAAGACCCGTGATAACAGAAACCTGAAGCAGTTGAATTAGAAATAATATCTAGATCCAGTTAATGCTAAATCAATAAACAATTCATTAAGAGAACTAAGGACAAGAGTCACTCCTACCAGAAGATGAAACATCAGCAGGCCTGGACCTTTTGCCCTTCACCACTGGTTGAATGACATTCAAAACAGTAGAAGGTACAGAAGGCTCTATCTCCCAAGGAGAAACTCTCTCTGGCCTTGGAATGTTTGCCGGTTCATCCCATTGAATCTAAGCAGCAAGAAATTATAAATGCTCAAAATGGAGAGTATACAATTAACAGATAAAGAATTGAGATGGATAATTTAGAGCAATGTTTAACCTTCAATGTCCGCCACTGAGAATTGGACCATCCCGGAGACATGTCCCCAACCCCAACAATAGTACCAGAAAACCTGACCAAATAATTACACAGTAATAACATACCAACTTGCAGGGTAAGGGGACACTGACCATAAAAACTGTTTACAAGGATACCTTCTCACAGGTGAGTCCTCTCCCTCAAATCTCATCTTGAAACGCATGCCAACAGAATAGTTATTGTTGACTGCCTCCATATATTTATTCACATCAACAATAAACTGGCTAGTCCTGAATGGATCAAAAGGCATGTTCAGGCAAAGTTACACAAACTGTTGCATTATAAGCTAATGACATCTAAATTACAATTCAAAAATATTTCAAACCTTGGCTTGTAATAAACCACAAACATGGTACAAGTCATAACAGCATGGGAAGCAGTGGCAAGCAGTCCAAGATGCATGCTCTGGCTTGATATCACAGATGAAGGCATAGAACTCTGTTGCCGAGCCAAACGCCGAACACCAACTCTCAGTTGCCCGTGCTCATCCCTGCAACATTCATGTCAAGACCAAAGTGCAGACAACCACAAAGGGAGAGGGAGGCCAACATCAAAAGCAGAATATTATACAAGGCATCAAAATTTAAATACCTTAAGAAAACAAAGGCATCTCCAGCAACCAATCTTTTGGATGCAACAAATGTACTCCAGCCTGTTGTAAGCAAGTGCCTCCTTGGCTGACCTGATCACATTAGTGAAAGGGATAAGCAAAATCCCCAGTTATAGAGCAGAATATGAGGACTAAGTACCTAGCATTCCTCATTCATTGCAAATCATGATATTCATTAATTAAAACCTATCAAAGAAGGCTCACAATATAAAAACCAAATTACCTCTGTATATATGTTTAAACTTCCACTCAACTCCATGAAGATCCTTAGCTACCAACTCCTGAGTTGGGGTTTCTTGGGTCATGTCCTACAATATATATATAAAAAGCATTTAAAATTCAGAAAATTTTATCTTCTTTTTCTCTCTTAACTAAATATATAGATTCAACCTCTGCTAAAGGAGACTCACAGAGCTAATTACCAAAGGAGGCAGACACTCAGTAGCATGCTTCCGCAGAACTGAAAATCCTCCATGTGTGCTAGTATCAGAGGCAGTTAATATCTTGCAAAATGAGTGAAACTTTTCTTTTGGAGCCTCGGAAGGAATTGGATCAGGATGTGGAGCCTCAGTTTGCTTTATAAAACCATCACCAAAAAAAAAAAAAAAAAAAAAAAAAGATTATTTTAAAAACTGATAAAGTTTCGACCCCCATTTTTTTCTACCTGAAATTTGTTTCTTTAGTATTAGGCCTCTTCTGTCAGTAGCTCGAAAATCATAAAGCAGAATTAGATAGGAAAATAATGAGGATAAGTTTGGTTCAGAAATTTTATCTCATTCTCTCATTAACCAAACAGATCGACAAGACTAAACAAAAAAAGGATAGGAGACACATAAATTCTCACATGTGATTGCGGAAGCAACGCGATACAAGCATAAACCTCATCAGTTTCTTTTTCCGCCTGCAAAAATTAACAAGATTCTATGATAAATAGACTCGAATTCAACAACAAAACGAACTGAATGTTCATAACAAAAAATTAAAAAAAAAAAAAGGAAAAAGAAAAGAATAAAACAATAGTACCATCAACTGAATGTTCATAACACGGCACAAAATCTTGGACGGGAGATTGAAATGGGGAATTTCCTGGTTCAATTCCTGATCGGTTGATGCTTGCAACTGCAACAAAGAAAAATCCCACAAGGCCAAAAAGTCAAAACAAAAACAAAAACAAAAAACAAAACAAAAACAAAACAAAAACAGCCACAGAAAAAGAAACATGCTTGTTCCATGTGACCCTGAGGGAAGTAGAAAACTGTGTCTCCAGTAACAGGAACATCAACCAAAGGTCCTGCACACAACTTCCATAACTCTTTATACAGATCGTCATGTCTTATACCTGTCAAACACAAAATGAAAACAAATAAGAAGAGAAAAAAACGGAAGCTTAATGGCTCTGCATGGTTTCTTAGAAAGTTAACTACTTTTCTCTTTCATTTTTCTTCTTAGCCCTGCCCCAGTTTCCTCCATGTTCACAAGGGAAAAGGGGCATTCATCTCTCAATTTCATTATTAAAAAAAAAAAAAAAAAAAAAAAAAAACACTATACATCCCCCCCACTTGCTAAAAAAACACAAGCATTTCCCATTAATGGCTTAACTTTCTAAGTAACCAAACAGAGAAATCCAACATGAAATTCCAACCCCAACCCATTGTACCTTCTTCCGGTTGAGAATGAGAATTCCCAAGATGTGCCATTAAACCACCTCGTACCACAGAAACACCTAGAGAACAAAAACACAAAAAAAGAAAGACAAAAGGGTAACAACTAAAGCAGCCTCCTCAAATAGATTACACTTTCAATTACCTCAAAAGAGAAAACACCAACCAGACACGACAGTTAAATGTGAGTTAATGATAATTACTGAGTTGTTTTTCTTTTTCTTTTTCTTTATCTCTTCTCTTCTCTTCTGTAACGACTTGCTTCAAATTTCGGTTACAGAAAACATGGTAACCAAGAATCAAAGATCACTTCTTCTTTTTTTCTTTTTTTCTCTCTTCACTTTGAAACTCCAAAAACCACTTTTTGAAAGGCCTTGTGAGAGTTCTGAAAGCTCTTCTGGGTCGTCTTCTTCTCCTTTTTTCTGCTGTCGTTGTCGTTGATTGTTTCCCCCAAAAGACCTCTGAATCCACGTTACCAACCTGCCAACGTTTATGCCTTTATCATCATGCTGTGCTGAGTGTTCCCTCTCTCTCTCTCTCTCTCTGTTTGTCTGAGAAATTGAACATTCATTTACCTTCACACTGCAACTTATTCTCCAAAACACTCATTGGCTACTATTTAAACACAGTTTATTTATATTATTACAAAACACAAAATTTCTATGGAACTTTTAGAAAATTTTAAATTATTAAAATTAATAGTTAGGAAACAAAAATATATTATAGTAAATATATGAACACAGAACACTCGGATGCAAAGCCGATGCACTAAATAGTTTATTTATTATAAGATATAAATATATATATTTATATGGATTCTGTGCCAATTTTTAGAATCTTAAAAATCATACGCATTGAAATTTTGTTCCGGATGCACATCTCGTACTCTTTTTTTATTATTTTTTTCTATATAAAAAGCATGCACTGACGTTATGACTGAAGTTATTTTGCTTACAAAAAAAAAACTAGCATTCACATTTTTCTTAGGAATCGATGTTTGTTCTTTAAAAACATATAAAATTATGTCATTTTAAATAAGAAAAAATTATATAATAAAAATTATGGGGAGATCAAAAAGTGAGATATTTTTTTAAGGATTTGACGTTTGTCATTTTAAATGACAGAAATTATGTCATTTTAGGAGAGAGATAGACACAAGACATGAAAATTATGGGAGAGAAAGCGGTTTTATTTTTAAATTTAAATTTTAAAGAAAAAAATTATTATGTGTCTATCTCTCTTAAAATGACATAATTTTATGTCTTTTAAAATGATAAATACTTTTTTGTTTTTAATTCAAATTTTAACTAAGAGATTTGTTTTTCTTATGCAGTAGGAGAAAACAAACCCTTACGACAAATACCATAAAAAGATGTGTCGCTCTTTTTCTATTTTTTGTTTTTTTAAATAGGTAGATTTCATATTTGTTGTATCTATAACATGATTGAAAATTTCCTATAATATGAGACTTCTTTTTTCTTTTAATATTATCTTTTAAGGGGCAAGATATATTTATCACCACAGAAATTTACTACCTTTACAACCAACTTAATCACTATTGATTTCAGTCAATTTAATGGTTATAATTTATTGGATTTATTGAGTCACTCTTATTAATTAATTATTGATTCTCAATAAACCTAATAAATTATAGTCGTTAAATTGACGAAAATCAACGGTAATTAGACTGATTGTAAGGGTGATAAACTTTTGTCGTGATAAGTATATCCTTTCATTTTTTTAAAGAACAAATATTTTTCTCTTTTTCTTAACATGGAATTCGTCAATCAAGATGAGCTTTTTCTTTCAATTTCTTTTGTACGCTTTCACTATTTTTTTATATCATAATTAAAAGAGAATACATACTCAGATTGAATGTGAGTAAGACAAAAAAAAATTATAATAGATATAAAAAATCTAGGAAAGTTCATAAATAACATTCAACAAAAATAATAGCATCTAAGGAAGATTTCAAGCACTTTCGGGTCCATCATCTTGCTCCTTTTTACGTGAAATAGGTCCTATAAAATGGGTGAGATGTGAAACTCAAAACTTGACCAAATATCCAAGTGATATTTGAAAACTCTAACTTGCACAGGTGATACATGTTCATCGCAAAGGAAATCGTTGCACAGACTCGCTAGCTAAATCTGCTTCAAAGGTATTGTGAGACAGATGTCCATTAGATTTGCTCAAATAAACATTTGTTTGCAAAGTCATTATCAATATCGTTGTCTCACCCTACTAAATTTTTTTGAACAGCTTTGTAAAATATTAGTTTATGTTATTTGAGTAATATTTTTCATAATCAAGAGAAGTAAATTGATTATGAATATTGTATTCTTTTTTCTTCGCTAAGCTTTTACATGGTGGAGTCATCCAAGGAAAAGTGAGACATATTTTTAATGTGTAGTCGTTCAAGGAGAAGTGTTGTAAAACACACATGTTTGACGTGGTGGATGACTACTTAAATTGTTTTGTGGTTACAACCTACGAATCATTAGATTTGATTATATGCTTCAAGGTTAGAAAATTTTGTATTCCTAAATAATGGCATTAACCTACCTATTATGTATGAGGGAGGATATTTTGACTACAAAAAATTTCCACTACCACTTACTACCTATCTAATCACCATTGGATTAACATTTCCTCTCTCTTCAAAAACTTTTTAACATTCTCTCTCTTTGATCCAATGGTGATTTGATAGGTAGTAAGGTGGTAGTGGATACTTTTGGTAGTCAAAATATCCCCCCTCATTATATACATGGTGTAACCTCTTCTTCTATTATGAGATGTATCTTATGAAAACAAGAATCAGAAAACAAATATCATAGCTAGTTCCTGAAGAGCTAGACTTTTGGAATCCATATTTCAACTGTCTACTTTTCTTTTTTTATATGTCTTCATCTCTTTCTCTACATTTTTCTTCTTATTTCACAACATAACTCTTACTATTTATTTTTTCTGTAAGCGTTAGATAGTGGGGTAGAATATAATAGAAAAATGGGAGATAAGAGAGAGGCTGAAGAAAATGATTGAATAATGAGAGAGTTGAATTGATTTTATCCAACAGTTTCAAGAGAGATAGTAATCAGTAATAAATTTAGAGGGGATATTCTTATTACAAAACAATCACTCCTAACTCACTATCTATTTAATCACTATTGAATGTTGAAAAATTTCTAAAAAAAGAGAAAATATTGATCTGATAATTATTAGATAGGTAATGAATTGGTACTGATTTTTTTTATAATAAGAATATTCACTTCATAAACTTATGTGTTTAGTGTTTGTCCTTTTTTTATAACTTATTCAACCTCCTTCGGTCACTTTGTTCTCGGAGTACGGTCCTGAAGGCTACCTTTCATTGGAACAGCTGATGCATTGAGTTTCACCACCGAAAGAAGGAATAGACTAATTCCCTATTTGAGGAGAGAGGCACGTCGTTTAATGTTTGTCCTTTTAAAGTAGGGATAAATTATAGTTACAACCTTTTTTTTTTACAACTTCTTATAACCATATATCATAACCGTTGATTTCCGCCAATCAACGGTTATGATTTTCGCAAATTAAATTCGTTCATTAATTATTAATTCATAATAAATGACAACCGTTGTTTGACGAAAATCAACGGTTATGATATATGGTTGTAAAAGGTTGTAAAAATAAAAGGTTGTAAGTATAACTTTCCTCTTTAAAGTATATATCATTTTAACTGAGAGAAAAATACGAGCAATAAGTATATGTTATTTTAAGTGAGAGAAAAATACGAGCAATGAAAATCATAGAAAAAGAAGTGTGTGATTTTTTTTAAATTTAATTTTTAAATAAAAAATATTAAATTATATTTTTTTTTCACTTAAAATAACACAAGTCTTATAAAACTTACATCCATTGGTTTGGTTTGGTTGCGAGAACTGTGCAGAAACGCTTCCAAAGAAGCAAACGGCAACCGTCAGATAACGGCTACGGGCATTGAATACGAGAACGGATCAAATAACAGCAAACTGACGGCGCTACGGGAAACGTGACCATTCTACTGTAACGGATATTTCACCCCTTACGTTATATTTGATGGCCTCAAACGCCGTTTCTTCCTTTTCGTCTTTGCTTTCTCTGTCGTCGTGGCAGGCAAACCTCATTGTTCAACCAAACCCGGCATCCATTTTCAATTTTTTTTCATTCATCAGATGTTTTATTTTTAAATGTCCATTTTACCCTATCCGATTTATCTTTTTTACTCGCTTGTCACTTTCCAAAATAGACAGTGATACCAAATTTTACTTAAAAAAAAAACATGTTTATATTTATTTAAGAGAAAAATATTTGTCATTTTAAATGACATAAAATTATGTCATTCTAAGAAAGATAGACACAGAATTTTTTTATTTAAATTTTAAATTTAAAAAATCATTCACTTTCTCTCTCCCATGATTTTCATTTTCCTGTGGTTATCTCTCTTCTAAAATGACATAACTTATGTCATTTTAAATGACAAACATCAAACCATTTATTTAATGGGTTTGTTTTTTCTAAAGTTACTTTAGATAATTTTATCTAATGTTCATCGAGACGACGTCGTTTTGGGGCGGAAATCATAGTGTTTTTATAATTTTAATTTATTTCAGGTTATAATAGTCTTTATTATTTTAATTTTTTAATTTTTCAACCTCAAAACGACGTCGTTTCGATGAACATTATACAAAGTTGTCTAAAGTAACATTAGATACTTTTTTCCCTTATTTAATTGGGGAAGGTTATACTTACAACCTATTTTTCTTTACAACCTCTTACAACTCATATCTTAACCGTTGATTTTTTGCAATTAACGGTTAAGATTTTTAGAAATTAAATTTATTAATTAATTATTAATTCACAATAAATCTTAACCGTTGATTGACGAAAATCAACGGTGTTAAGATATGATTGTAAAAGGTTGTAAAAAAAAGTTATAAGTATAACCTTTCTCTATTTAATTATAAAAAAAAGTAATCATATATGGATCCGACAATTATTGAAACTGAACTAGTTGAGTTTTCAATAAGAACAGTTTAAAAACTTTTATGTCGTGTATCTAGTTTATACAAACGAAATAATTATTTGTAGGTTTTTAATTAGAGATTTAACAATTTTAATAAAAAAAATTTCTCTTCCTCCCTTCATTCTTAATAAAAATCTCTTAAATACCAGATTAATGTGTGAGTATTTTTCTACTATTAATAGGATCTAGTAAAAAATTAATAATTATTTTTTCATTTTAAACTTTTTTAATTATAAATTATGTTTAATAAAAAAATTGTCAAGACCAAATATTTGAAAATGCATGGTGATTGACGTAACTCGGATTTGTTGTATTAAGAATAAATTACGTGACAATTATATAGAGGAAAAGATCCATGAGTCCAATTATTTAAAATTTGAGATTAAGGTATAATATTAGCTTCATTTATTACAATGAATTGTCGCTTAAATTATCAATAATTATCTCTTCGAAATAAGTTATCCCCGACTCATATAATGCCCCTCATTTTAAGTTATGTGATAATATTAGAGTACAAATACATAA